TTTAGTAACACTTGATTTTAAATGCTTATTTTAATATTTTAATTATTTTTCTAACACTTAATTTAGTTTTTTAATTTTAATGAATGTTTAAATACTAATTTTAATTCTTTACGCATAATGCTTATTTCATATTTACAAATTTATTATAATTGCTTTGCAAAAAAATAATTTGATTGATATTTTAATTTTCAAATTTAATTGCGTATTCCTTTTTTTACAAATGTTTAAATATGTATTTAAATTATATATATATGTTATTTAATATTTAATTATTTCTTTAATTATTTTGCTATCACTTATTTTGATATTTTAATTGCTTATTTTAATTTTTTTTCTAACAGTTAATTTTAGTTATTTACTTTTAATGAAGTTTTAAAACTTATTTTAATTATTTACAAATGTTTAATTATGTATTTAAATTCTTTATATATATCTTATTTAATATTTCATTTTTTAAAATTAATTTAGTAACACTTATTTTTAAATGCTTATTTTAATATTTTAATTATTTTTCTAACACTTAATTTAGTTTTTTAATTTTAATGAATGTTTAAATACTAATTTTAATTCTTTACGCATAATGCTTATTTCATATTTACAAATTTATTTTAATTGCTTTTCAAAAAATTAATTTTTTTGCTAATTTAATTGCTTATTTTTATTATTTTACAAATGTTTAAATATTTTTTTAAATTCTTTAGATATACTAATTATTTAATATTATATTATTTCTTTTAATTTTTTTACTATTACTTAATATAAAATAATTAATTAATCTATATTAGCAACTAATAAATATTTCGATAAATAATATAACATTTACATCTTATATTTACTAATAATTTTAAATACATAATATAAATTCAAATTAAGCAATTCAAATAAATAATTACATATTATTTAATTAACTTCAATAATTACAAAAAAAAAGGGCCCAAAATAACGCCCGGCCCAGTCAACTGGGTCAACCGGCCCAGCTGCCTAGTTGACTGGGCTAAACCCAGCTGCCCAGTTGGGCACCAGGCGCCCAGTCAACTGGGTTGCCCAGTTGACTGGGACCGACGCCAGGGCTGTCTGGGCGTCTGGGCGCTACCCAGGTCTCTGGGGTGATTTTCGGCCGAGAAGATCGCCGGAAAACTCCATTTCCGACGATCTCCACTCCTTCCCAAGCAATAACAACCCAAATTCCACATTTACACAACGATTTCTCAACAAATATATATAAAATCATACTTTATTCCAAAAATAAAAATATAAACATGATTTTTTTTGTATAAATTTCTTACCTTCTTCAGAGTCAATTGGCCAATTGGGTCTCCTGTTTTTCCTTATTTGTCGGTGGCTGGGTCGACTGTGCTACAGTACTTTCCTTCTCGGCTTCTGCGTTTTTTCCTTGTCCAGTGAGGGTAAAATTGGGTTTGTCTTCATTTTTTTTGGTTTTAACTGTTTTAAATAATTTTGCCTTTTTTTTTCACTGGTCAAAGGCTATTTTGGAAAACTGGCCGGGTCAACCGGCTGTTGGCCACTAATTCCTCGGTGGGTTACTGGGTGCAAATGTACAATTTTAGACACGTGATGATCTTCGAGATTTCATGATTCATTGTGCAACTTATTCCAATTCCAAATGTTCGATAACCCCATTTGACTTAGATTAAAAATTAATTAAAATTTTGAGTCAATAGTTAATTATAATCACAAATTTTATGAAATTCACAATTTTTAAATCATATATTTCACTAAATTTTATTAAAAATTCAATTTTGATCTTTAAAAAAATCGCTTTTTATAAAATTTATTATAAAGAAGTAGCTCAAACAATGATTTAGCGATCTCCAATTCTTCACCAAAAATTGAGATAAATTTTATACCATTTTACATTAAATATTGCACTAAACTAGAAATCATATCCAATCATTACACCAAATGAATAGTATTTAATCATTTTTTTCATTTTTTTTATTCTTAAAAAATTATTTCTTTATTTGTTTTACAACTACATAAATTACTAAATAAAAACTACATTAGTTTAATGAAAATATTAAATTCATTTAACTATTATTTTTTACATTGTTAAAAATTATTATAAATGTGAATAATAAGAATAACAACAACAACAACAACAACAACAACAACAATAATAATAATAGTAATTATTATTATTATTAATAACAACAATCATCGTCATCATAATTTATTGTACTAAGAAATATATAACACAACTAATACAAATATTCTTAATCAATTTGTTTGGGAAATGAAAATAAATGATAAAATTGACTTCTTGGTGCGAAGTTTGGTGGTGCTTTGGAGTAAGAATTTGTCTAGTGATACATAATGGGGTGTACCGAATGATGTACACCGTACTCTTATGGGTGTGGGACCCATGTGAAAGAAATGATATTTTATTCGAATGGGTCCCTCGTCCATGTGAGTGGGGTGTACACCATTAGGTACATCTCGATGTATCACTAGCAAAATCATTAGAGTAATTTGCACCATTTTTCGATGCGATTTGATCTTTTGGTGTCTCCTCTAGAGATGTCTGGTCCTAGAAGCAGTGTTTGATACAAATGCAGGTAAGGAGCAATCTAGAACGAGAATAAAGAAAAATGAATAATATTTTTTTGATGATTGATTGTAGGACACGAAACTGTAAGCAATAAAATATAATGAATTATTGTATAGTCGAGCACCATCTTTATTGAATTAATTTGGTCACGTGGCATGAGATTAATGGTTACAACCTATGTTTTCAACAACAATAATAATAATAGTAATTATTATTATTATTAATAACAACAATCATCGTCATCATAATTTATTGTACTAAGAAATATATAACACAACTAATACAAATATTCTTAATCAATTTGTTTGGGAAATGAAAATAAATGATAAAATTGACTTCTTGGTGCGAAGTTTGGTGGTGCTTTGGAGTAAGAATTTGTCTAGTGATACATAATGGGGTGTACCGAATGATGTACACCGTACTCTTATGGGTGTGGGACCCATGTGAAAGAAATGATATTTTATTCGAATGGGTCCCTCGTCCATGTGAGTAGGGTGTACACCATTAGGTACATCTCAATGTATCACTAGCAAAATCATTAGAGTAATTTGCACCATTTTTCGATGCGATTTGATCTTTTGGTGTCTCCTCTAGAGATGTCTGGTCCTAGAAGTAGTGTTTGATACAAATGCAGGTAAGGAGCAATCTAGAACGAGAATAAAGAAAAATGAATAATATTTTTTTGATGATTGATTGTAGGACACGAAACTGTAAGCAATAAAATATAATGAATTATTGTATAGTCGAGCACCATCTTTATTGAATTAATTTGGTCACGTGGCATGAGATTAATGGTTACAACCTATGTTTTAAAAGGAGAAAAAGCATTGCAAGATGTGGGTCGAATTTAGACGGAATAATATATTTTTAATATTATTTTAATTATCTTTTAGACTAATAAATAAATAAAATAATGCATACTTTGAAATTTATAGAAAATTTACATATTTTTCAAAATTTAAATAAAAACATAATTCTCAAAATCATAAATATCACAAATCAATACTGTTTTATTTTAACTGATAAATCTTTGTTTGTGGGCTTACTTTGAGCTAGGACGAGGTTTGTTAGACTTACTTTAAGTTTGAATTATGTTTATTTAATAAGTAAAATCGTTGGATTCAGATTTACTTATGGAATCATTCGGGCTCAATTCCATTTGATTCACGAGTTTCGTACAATAAATAATTTTTTGAATATTTACAACGCTATTAAGTCAACTAATGACATGTTTAACTTTAACTCTTACAAAATAACGCAATCAAATCTTATGTATTTTTTGCATCTCTTTGTTGGGTTCTTTATAGATTTGATTGTTAAAATCATAGGAACATGAAAATTTGCGATCTTACAATAATGAAAAGACACATAGTCGAGCTTCCAATTCATTTCTCTAGAACGGTAGAAATCACATTACGATAGAATAATAGATTCAGTAAAATTTAAGTCAATTTAATTAAATTGGGTTTGAATAATTTTTTGAATATTTACAACGCTATTAAGTCAACTAATGACATGTTTAACTTTAACTCTTACAAAATAACGCAATCAAATCTTATGTATTTTTTGTATCTCTTTGTTGGGTTCTTTATAGATTTGATTGTTAAAATCATAGGAACATGAAAATTTGCGATCTTACAATAATGAAAAGACACATAGTCGAGCTTCCAATTCAATTTCTCTAGAACGGTAGAAATCACATTACGATAGAATAATAGATTCAGTAAAATTTAAGTCAATTTAATTAAATTGGGTTTGAGTTGAAAATTAGAAATAGAAAATTTATATTTTGGGTTTAGGATAAATTAATTAGTTGGTAAATTTATTGTAAAAAAATAAAATAATTTTAATTAATTTAAGATAAATAAATAAAAAGAGAGATATTTTTTATCGGTTCTTGATCTAAAATCGAGAATCTAACTAAGTTCGTCAGTTTTTCATTCAAATATCCGTTCAGGTATTTAAGTTACGAAGAATGGCTCGATTCGATTTAGTTCGAGTAGGGTCAAATTTAATTCAAAAGTTTTATCCAACCTTACTTTAAAGCATGAAAATATCATATGTCAAGTAAAAAAGCAAGGACCTTTTATGTCTATTCACTCTTTAGCGTAATGATATAATTTTAATATATTTAAATTAATTTTTCTACTAATAAATAAATCAAATAATGCATACTTTGAACATTTACAGTGAATTTACATATTTTTTAAAATATAAATAAGAACTAATTCTCAAAATCATAAATATTCAAATCAATAATGTTTTATTCTAACATATAAATCTTTCTTTGTAATTATATAAACTAAGACTTTAAGTATTCCCATTTCATAAATGTTAACTTTACTATTTCAAAAAAAGAAAAAAGAAGCTTTTATTAAATAATTAATACATATAAAAAAATAATTGATCTAATCATAATCCCTAAATTATCTAATTCACTTCTCTCTCCATTCTCGCGTCTCAACCACTCTCCGAACAGCTCTCTCCGTCGCGAATAAGCCTAGAGCATCGGCGTCGGGGTGAAGCAGTCCGGCCCCTCCCTCTCCTATCCTGTATCTGCATCAAATCCACTAGCGCTGGTTTGGCGGAAGCGCGGCAACTTCTCCTTGCGGCAATTTAAATTTTCTCTGACGATTTGTGGGATTTCACATTCTTAGACACAACAAAATCACACTCCTCATTCTTCAGTTTTCCTAAATTTTCTTGGATTAGGGGTTTTCCTCAGGTCGCTCATTTATTTTTCTATTCATTTGATGCAGAACGGGAATTAAATTATTATAAATATGGCATTTTGGAGTAGACTGAAGCGAACGCAGCTTATATATCTTTCAACCCGATTCAACGGTCTAATTGCTGTTGATAATCTTACTTCACGTACCGGCATTCCGATAATAAATAACTCAAATTCGATCTTACATAATATCCAATTGCATTTTGCCAACAACGTCAGATTCTATGCAGCACCCGTTCAGGTATCGATGCACAGTGTGTGTGTAATTTGAAGTCGGGTACATTAATATGTATGTATTCACTAATTCCACATAAGTTTGTCATAATTCTCGTGGAGAATGAAATTGCATTATTTTTTATGCTACGTGTTTCAGGCTAAAGAGAAGAAGGAAGAGAAAGATACCAGTGGGCCTAGATTGAATAAGCGAGTCGCGGCCCAGCTCATTAGGCTCGTTACTGATGAAGGTATGGCTTAAAAGATATTGGAATTTTTGTGATATTTTTAATAGAAATTAGGTGTTATAAAAGTCCCAGCTTTCTGAATATCGGACTAAGTATTTCGTGATATTGGTCCTATGGGAAGAGTATTTAAGATTAAACAACTTAAAGATGTCTGCCTTTGTTTTTAGTCAGTGAAGTAAACTCCAAAGCTGCCTTTTTTGATTGCCAAATTAACCTTCAAAGCTGCATTTGGTGGCTCCGAACTTTGCCCTCAGAAATAATTCCAAGTAAATTTGAAGTAGTTTTTTATGTGATTATTAGTTCCAAAAGTCCAATGGACCAAGTAGTTTTGGAAGTTGTCAAATTTAGTTTGTAATTAGTTTTTTAGTTTAGTCCGATATGTTGCAATCCATTGTGTATACAAACATTTTTTAATTGAGGGTGGTTTGTATTCTTAAAAAGTCAGGTTTTAATTGTCTGGTGTACTTGAACGGACATAATTAACTATTTAGACCACTAGTGTATCATGTAGGTATTGGAATTCAGTAACTCCTTGACTGAGATTATTTGGTTTGTGTATTTGCAGGTCACAGTGTGGTGTCAAGGCATGAAGCATTGAAACATGCAAAGAGTCTCAAACTGGATTTAGTTGAGGTAAACCATATAAGAAAAATGATATTATAGCAAGCTTATGAGCGACCATCCATCGTGTTACAATGATAAACATAGAACGTTACTTCAAGAAACAGAGCATTAGTTGTTACATGTTTGGGAAGTGTTTATAAATATTTTAATTATAAACAGATATAAGTGATGAACAAGTGAGTAGTACTTATGAGTCCATTGAAACACAAGCTAAATATAGGCTCCATTGATAAGCCTCGGTTTGGCAAATTCATAAATGATTTATAAAGAGGAATAGTAATGGATTTTACAAAATTTGTGGATAATAATGAGTAGTAGTTAAGAATGTGTTGTTGATAATAATGTTTTATTTTGACTGAATATATAAACCATTATTTAATTATAAACAGATATAAGTGATGAACAAGTGAGTAGTACTTATGAGTCCATTGAAACACAAGCTAAATATAGGCTCCATTGATAAGCCTCGGTTTGGCAAATTCATAAATGATTTATAAAGAGGAATAGTAATGGATTTTACAAAATTTGTGGATAATAATGAGTAGTAGTTAAGAATGTGTTGTTGATAATAATGTTTTATTTTGACTGAATATATAAACCATTTATAAATTTGTATCGAAATAGTGATTAAGATGTTTCCTTCTGTTTCAAATACTTTTGTTATTACCCTCTTTTCTTACCAAGATGTGATCTTATACAAATAATTAACGGCAAAGAGTATGACTACGTACATGTATGTTTTGCAAAAGAATGTGATATATAATATAGGTTTGAATGGATGAGAGAGAGCATGGGTTGGTGTATCTAAGGAAGAAAAGCAATAGAGTAAAAGGCTGGCAATACTCAGGCCTATTTGGACACAATGCAGAGACCTATATATCTAGAGTCATTTTACTCTCATCGTGTTTTGAAAGGTGATTATCAATATATGGAACTGTTACATTTGACATATCACCCACCCTCTCTCAATTTATTTTCCTCAAAGCCTAAGCCAATAAGAGTATCAACTTTGTTGTAACCACTATGCTCTATTTTGTGAGTAATCAATCCCAAACCTTATTAATGATTCATTCAAGAGAATGCTAGCTGATGATTGCAGTTGCAAGGCACTCAGGCCTAACAGGTAGAGGAAAATGGAAACTTTCTAGTAAACGAGTATTTGTTTTAAGTCAGACCCTTCATCTCAAGAAGATTTTCCTGGAAGGATTTCCTGCACAAAGACCTTGCCTTTTCACATTCAAGACACATGAGAGAAAGTGATGTGACATTTGAAGAGGTGGGGGTTGGGGTATTATAAAACTTAGTTATACGTTGCTAACTCCTCGTAACTAGAATGGATACTCTCAATAGATGTCGTAGGGTTTCTAATTGACCCTTTTCCTCTCTTTCTGGCATTGTGGGAGAGGGAGATTAAATCTTTTGCTTATTTTTCCCTGTAAAAGTTTCTAATTTACATTTTGTAGGTTGATAGAAACGCCAAGCCACCTGTGTGCAAAATTGTGGACTACAACAAAGAGAAGTACCAACAGCAAGTAAAGGAAAAAGAGCGTTCTAAAAGCAAGGTAGGTTACTTTTTTCAAATTTTGATGTGGTACTTTGGATGTAGTTTTCTTGTAAATAATCTCCAGGGACTTAGCTTTCCACGTTATCAAAAGCCAGAGAACACTTGTCATTTTCACATTAGGTTGTAGTTCTGGTGGTGCAATCTTGAAACCTTAATGAGGTTCGTAGGAACTCTATTTTCTTTTTCTTTAATAAAAAGAAAATATATGCACTAAAATTCTTCAACTATCGGGAAAGATAAATTTGTTATTTTCTCTTTTCCATATCGTGCTCATTGTTTAGGAAACCTTCATTGTCAAATTTACAGTGTGGGTGAAGGTGTGTGTGTGTCGCATCCATAATCCAAGATTTGCAAGCTTTGAGCATCTTTTAAAGATATAATGAAAAGAAATATTAATATTAGTGTAATTTAGAAGTTGGAAATTGCACTCTGATTAATGTGTCATTTGCCGATTCTGTCATTGGTCATATTATGGATCCCAACCTTGAGTGGTGAAACGTATGACTAAGATGAAACCAACTCCAAGATATGGCGATTGCTGAACATTAACAGTAGCATTTTTCATTGAGTGATGATTTCACCATTCTGTTTGATGACATTTGCAACAGTGATAAGTATTTCTAATAATAACAGTGAGATTCACTTGATTTTGTGGAGGAAAGCTGGGTATTTTGAATGCATTACTTGTGTTGAGTATCTAATTTGTTTCACTTGCTGATTACTGCAGTGTGAACTTAAGAAAGGTGCTTGCAAAGAAGTTCGGTTTGCTGCTAATGGCTGTTTTCAAGGGAGAGGATGATTTCAACAAAGTTTTTGACATTACGGATGATGCAAATGGATTTGCCAAGAGTTCAAGACATGAAAAAGTAACAGTACTCTCTTCAGCAGATGCAAGCTCTGGATCAGTAGTTGACTCTGCAAGAGCACGTACGGCTTCATCCATGTCAACGGAGGTTCCAAAAACTGGGACTGAAAACAGATATGCCAGAGATCCAAGAAACAGGAATCGTTCGATGAGCCCTGGTACGAGAAACACAATTGACCACGTCTCCCAGTTTTCTAACCATGGGACGGAAATAAAATTTAATAAGAATATGTCCCCTCAAGCACAACAAACTTGGCGAGTAGAAACTCCTGCAAATAAGGATCGCAATCGAGATTCTTCTCAGCCAGGTGTTCCCAATTCAACAGCCAAAAGTTACGGTGTTTTTAGTGCTCAACAAGTTGATAGCAACCTCGGCGAACAGAATACACCAGCACAAGTCAATAGATATGCGAATAGAAATCCTTCTGATTCTGCAAGAAGTCCTACCAGGATAGGGGTCTCTCATAGAAATTCTCCCATTTCAGATGCGAGAACTAGCAGAGGTGCAGGTGTTGAGAGAACTCAAATGGGATCCCGAACACGTTGAACTAAAACCAAGCAGAATCCTAGGCTAGGGAATCAAGGTATTCGTGTTTTTCCTTGATTACCCGGCCTAGACTTCTACTAGGAATAAGGAGATAAGACCTTGTACGACTCTCTTCAGTAAGTGACCAAGTGCAGATCGAAGCCAAATGACGCCAAAATGATTTTGGAAGGTATTCAATTTGTGGTATCTTTAGGTATTTATGTATTTAAATTCCCCTTTTTAGTGGGTAATTAATTTTTGGACCAATGGAAATAAATAATTTAGTCCACACATACGCAATGCTGGAAGTAAATTGAAGGTGATTTTGTTTATTTCTAATTTTTCCACATTGCCCATGTTAACAATGAGTATAGTATTATGAGATTTTATTAAGGTTTCATGTATCTGATGTCCGTGTCTAATTGATTTCTCAATTAGCTTTATGAGTCTCATTTATAGTTTTTGAGTGGTGATTTTCTTAAGAAACACTTTCCCTTTTTGTTTTCGATTTATATTTCAGTATATTGTATTTTTCTTTTGAAATTGCATAAACTGATTTGTTATCATTACTTCTAATTGAGTTATTCCACTACTAAGGGTCTGTTTGATACAAATCAATTTCATGGGCAATTTTCCATGGAATTGGTTTTTCATCCTACCCCGCCACCCCTTCACGTAACCCTTTTTCTTGGTTTTTAAAGAATTTGTTTTTCTTTGGTTTTGGTGAAAAAGTATTTTTTAGCTTTCTTTTTTTTCTTTTTCTTTTTATTTTTAGCCATGGAAACAAATTTTATCAATAATTGTAACAAATTTTACTTCTTTAATTGACAATTTTGATGGAAAACAAAGTCAAACGAATAACAAAAGATTCAAAATTTCAACATTTTTAATGTGGAAAATTGTACTAATTAAACACATTTAATTGACAATTTTCAGTGAAATAAGTTTTAGACAATTAAATTTTTTGAAATTCGTTTTCTTTTCACCCAAATTTTATTCTTGCAGTCAAACGGATCCTAATCGAATTTAAAAAGCTGCAACATTGAATTTCGAAACTATACTAATAAATGTCAGAAAAAAATATTGTTCTTATATATAATAAAGAAGTAATATAGCGAATAATAATTGCCCGTGGGGATGGCAACAGACGGGTTAGAATGGGGTGGTTATTAACGTTCGAGTTCCAACAGGGTCGTTTAATTAATTCATTTATTCTTAAACATTATTTTAAGTTTCTTAATATTATTTAAATTAAAAATAAAGAATTTGGACTGGAGGATAGAAATCTTGCCGTACCCAGATGGTATTGCTTCAAAATGAAGTTAAGCTATTAGTTTGATGATAATGTACAAGTTGGCATTCTGTTAATTTTAATGAATATGTCCTTGACTGAATCTAAATTAAAGTTTAATAGTTTCATCACTCCAAATTAAGGTTTAGTAACCCAATTATAATTAGGGTTTAACCTCCAATTTAGCCCTTGTTTGAGGGACCATTTTAGGGGAGAAAATGAATTTTTGAATAGTGTATTGATATGAAATATGTGACTAAAAAACAAAGAAAAATTTTAAATTTACGTGTAATATTATTTTATTAAAAATTTTGCGGTTGAAATGATATTAAAATGATATTGAAAAATGCATTTTTTTTCAAGAGAATGGGGTTCAAACAAGGGCTTAATTAATTAAGGGAAAAATTCATACTTAAGGTGTTTTCTTTACTCCATTTCAAAATTCAGGTAAAATGTTTGAAAATTCAAAATTCAGGTTTAGATTTAATTAATTAAAAATATTTATTAAATAAATATAATAAAGTCACGATTAAACAATTAATGGTCACAAATTTTTTTAATGGTCACAAATCATAAATCTTGTAGGTCACAGATTATTTCGAAATCACAAATTAAAAATTTTATGAGTCACAGATCATCAAATTTTAAGGTCACAAACCAAATTGTCGAGGTTACATATTATTTTTTTGTCACATAGTATCAAATTTTAAGGTTACAGACCATCGACAACCAAAAAAAAAAAAAAAGGAAAAACACCGACAATTAACCCAAACTACCAATAAATGCTGGACCTGCTGTTCGATATAGAGGTAACTTCAAGTCCCATTCTCAGCACAAGCGACATCAATGTAAAAGGACGACTGGTGGTTGATTCTTACTTTGTTGATAAAATGAACTGAACCAATCAAAAGATTTAGATTATACATTTTCAGTTGAGTACTCCCTTGATCCTTATTAGTTACTTGGATAATCATATGATTTTCACTTCTCTTTCCCATAAGGACAACTATTTCACTCTGTAAATGTTCTGTTAATATTTGTGACACGAAGTAATTTTAATATGTTTACAGATTTTGCTGTCATCTGATTATTGATTATATAAGTTACATTGGAGTTTGTGTTTTTTAGTTTTTAATCAAAGGACACTGTACAATGCATATAAGAAAAGGACAAAGAATATTGACGTAGATCTTGAAGGGTACTACAAAATGAAAGAATCTGATCCAAAATTCTACCGAAAGGCTTCGAGCCTTCAATATGGAAAGGTGAGCATGCTTAATATATTTCGACAGGAGATCATTTTACTGAGATTGTTATTAATGGTGAACAGGCTCCAAAGATATCAGAAGAAAAAATTGACAAAATGGTGAAGGAGCTTAAGGACAAGGAGGAGAAGGCGAGGTCCTTTAGCAGACGGAGAAAATACCGTGAAGAGAAGGATATTGACTCCATTAATGATCGCAATGAGCATTTCAATAAGAAGGTTGAGCGAGCATTCGGCAAATACACTCTGGAGATCAAGAACAACCTTGAGAGAGGAGCTGCTTTGCCAGATTAAGGTACAGCCATGATACTGTACCATGTAACTATTCCTGTTCATCTAGGGATACAACTCTATATTCTGTCTGTGATTTTGGTGTATCTTGATTCTTATGGAAATTAGGAGGATGCGAAACTGCAGCTTGTTCTTTGATGTTTCTATGGTTCTAAAGAAAGAAAATGTCAATGTGCCATGATAAGTGTGTTTTTACATACTTATTTAGCTCACAAACATGACTTAAATATGGACAAAGTAGTTGAATTGTGACTTAATCTCGCTAAATTCATGCAATGTAGGTGTTTCTATGAAAAAGATGGAATTCAGAAGAAAAGAGCCGAAAAAGGACCAAAACGGAACAAAGCGATAGTTCGGGGACCAAAGGTGCAAATATTGGAAAGTTGAGCTAAAGTGCAGAACTGGAATGAAAATATACCAAGTACGAGATTGAGGACGATACAAGACGATCGGAGGAAGAAAGAAGTAACATTGGACTAAATTGAAGAAAAGTGAAAGATGAAGGACTAAATTGCAATTAATCAAAAGATGAGCCGAGAAAATGATCAAGGAATTGATTGACCCAAACATCAATTAGGAGTCAATATTTGATAATGGAACAAAGGAAAGAAAGAAAAGAGATCAAGAAAAGAGAAAACGGAGTTCAGGGACCAAAATGACAAGGTTGTAAAGTTACAACCTTGCGGCCGCATGTAACTATACCATGCGGCTGCACATGGTCTAGTAGGGACTTTTTTGGGCTGAAAATTTGAACCATGCGGCCGCATGACTTTAAGTTCGAAAAAAAATATGAACTTCCGTTTTTAATTGAAACTCTTTCGGAGTTCCGTGAGGACATGATATAAAAGCCAAAATTCATCAGAAATAGGGTAGAACGTCCAGGGAGAAGAAGAATACAACTTTTGGAGGCAAGGAACACGAACTTGAAGCCGATTTCACAAGAATTCAAGCGGATTTTCAAGGTTTTATTCAAGATTTCAAGAATTTTCATATGGGTGCTATTCTTTCTATTTATTAATTTTATTTTTTCTGTAATTATGAATCTTCTAGGCTAGGTTTTCAATTACTAGGTGATCGATGAACCGTTGTTTGTTATTTTAATTCCATATTTCATGAATTTAATATAAAGACTCGTTTGGATAATTTGATTGGTTTATATGCATTAATTTTCTTCCGCAATTAGTGGCCAATGATTGTGTGAGTGTTGATGACTTATTTCTTACATTCGAGAGAAGTAGAATATGTTCGATAAGGTGTAAATTAACATAGGGTTCGATAGGGGATAGAGATGTACCCCTATGCTTTATACAATTCTTAAATTGTTCATAAAACTACATGCATTCTTGTATGTTTGCATCATCCATAGAGATATAGGCTGGTGGTGTGCAAGAATAGGTCTAATATATATTGAGAGAGTATATTGGATAGAATTAGGAACATTGAATTGACGAATTTTCATCGAATCATTAATTTTATGAAATTAGGGTTTTTATAACTTCAATTGGGGATTCGTAATCCTAGTGACTTTAGTTTGATTCATTTCCATAAATTAGCTTTTAAATTTGCTTAATTTCATTTACTTGAGTGTTTGAGTCATTTAATTAGAGAAATTTCGAAATTAGGGTTTTCAATAGAAATTAGGGTTTTTAGTTGAAATTAGGGTTTCTTAATTGAAATTAGGGCTTTTTGCATTTAGACTATATTTTCACTCATTTAGATTCGGTTAAGGCTAGATTATATAGAATTGAACTACTCAATCTCTGAGAGACGATATTCGAACTTTTTAAAATCCACTTTATTACTTGTTACGAACTGTACACTTGCGGTAGTTTTAAATCGAAAGAATTATTTCATGAACATGCCACACATGCTGAAACTTCTGGGAGAGTCCATTATTGGATATGCAATACACCCTAACCAACAAAAGAAGAAAGGGACATAACAAATAAAAAACATATAAGCATTATCTTCTGCAATTTTTCATTTCAGCGGGTTGAACCCTAGAATAATTGAGAAAGATATAACGAGTAATCACTGTTCTCAACTGCAGTTTTTATGAAAAGGAACTGCTGAACTGAATAAACAAGAGACTGAACACTCGTTAATAAGCAAGATGATGTAACGAGTAATCGATATGTTCAAATGCTGTTTTTTCCAAAATAAACAAGAGGCTGATCACAAATTCATTAACTTTTGATCTAAAATGTGTATCTGTGTCGCGTTAATGTTATTTGAAGAGAATGGTTCTAGGTTGAGGTGCTCATCTTCGAGTCTAAGTGTTATGTCTTGGTGAAAATCGGAGCGTTCTTCGAAAAGCTTGTCTTGTATATCTTTTGAGTGATTGATGCTGGAGTTGCTCGTTAGGTTTGATGTTGCATGTGAAGTATTTGACTAACTCAAAAACCAAAAAGATATTTTTTTTGATAAAAAAGATGAGGAAATGCTATGCTCTATAATCCTGACACGATATGTTAATGTTTCTCAATTTCGTATCTTATCCACATGATGCCATTGAGTGACATTCTGATCTGATGTGGACTGCCATATCAACATATTGAA